GGGCAAACCCTACACCAAAAATAGTGCCGACACACTTGCCATGAAGGAGCCTTTCTAATAAGGAATACATCAACTACTAGTTTCTCATTGAGATTTGCTTTTTGGGCTTGTATACCAAGGGTATGGTTGGAGGCATTGTCTGTCACTTACCCTCAAAGAATCTTTCTAGTTAGGAACGTATCCACTACTAGCTTTTCATCAACATCTGTCTCATGTGCTCGCCTTCCAAAGGCTTAGGTGGAGACCTTCTTTGTCACTTGTCCTCATAGGCCTTTCTACACAAAATCTTTCAAGAGAGAATAAAAAAAACTTCAATTGTAATAAAGAAAATTCATTGCACAACAGTTCTTTGAAGCAATGGGAAAATTCTTACCAAATAGAATTTAAAATTCATATACTAATATAAAATTAAAAAGTCATTTACTCATATAAGATAATTTGTAGTTATACTTCTGATTCAATAATCCTGACAATTTTCTTTTGACTCTTCTCACCCCATTCTTATAAATAGTGGCACGTGACATTGACATATCAGACATTCAATTTCTTAGTTTAAGTCAAAACATCTTTCTCTTCAATATTCTTCTGCACAGTGAAAATGTCAATATTGAGATTGATCTCCAATATCTGAATTTTTTAATTGTTGGTCACTTGACGGTCTCTTCATCCCTGATGGCCATTAAAACATTAATATGTGATGTGTTGAATTGTGTGTACTTATTCTCTAATTCAAATTTGTCATTGTTTCACGGGTCGATAAGGTAAATCATGATTTTTCTGTGGATCGAACTTCTTTCGTTGTGAGGTTTGATCGACATATTTGACATTACTCTTGCAATTGCCCTCAAATCGCTTGAATTATTCATTGTGTGCACAGATACCTTCACATGCAGAGATTTGAGCTTCAACACGATCGACAAGATGAGTAGAAAAGTCATGAGAAGAACCCTCCGAGAAAGAGTCCCCTTAGTAGTTGAGGATCTACCCCTGGGATCTTACGAACTTTAGTAAAGAATTTGCAGAAGCATTCCTTCAGCGATTCCCCTTCATCGACGAATTCATGATAAATGGGATAAATATTTGATCATTCTTTATGAACTAATCCACAAATAACTTGACAAGCTTATTGAAAGTGTGGATGGTGTCCAGACCAGGTGCGGGCTTGAACCTTAAGAGTGGTAGTAAATATTTGCCAGAGATATGCATCATAAACACATTGAATGTGCATGAAAATTTGATAGTGGTCAACCCCCTAGGAGCCAATAACCAATTCATATAAATCAATTTTTTAGAGCCTAAAACCCCCTAGGATTGGGTGTTGGATGACTACCTCTACCAAGCATGAAGATTCTTGAAATTTGCAACGAGAGGGGAAGCGATCACTATCCCATAATGAGAACTCTTCTCGAACCAGTCGTCATAACTCGTTAAGGATCAAATTTTCTGAAGTGACAGCAGGATGCGGCTGGGCCAAATCTCCCATTAGCGTCGTAGAGTTATCGGTCAGTCTAGTTGTGATAACTGATGAGTGAGACTCGCAGTATCAAGGAGGTTTGCATCCTACAAAGGAAGGGTTCCATCGTGGGAAGGCAGCTCAGTACAAATGTGCTCAAGCGGAGCATTTGTAGGTTGTTGTACTTGTTGTGTAGACATCAGCGGTCGTGCTTCGCGTAGGAGCTAAAGTATCTTGCGTTGAGAATCCTCCATATTGCGCACTCAATCCTTCAGAGAGGAGCCTGAGGCACCTTTGTCGGAAGGATAACTACTTTCAGGGCTGGAAATGGTAGAAGAATGTATTTGACTCGGCGACTGTCCCATTGAATGGTGGGAGTTAGAGCGGGATGTCCCGTTATTGTGAGTATTGTGTCTAATGGTCCTTTAGCAAGTTTTGCAGGTCATTAGGTGGTAGGATGGGGTTCCCACAAGCAATGTCAAATTTATGTGTGCTAAGAAATTTGCGTCAGTGAAGTAAAGAATCATTGTCTTAGCATTGCATGAGAATCCAACATATATTCAGATAATAAAAGTGACAAGTGGATGTACCAAAAATCTTTATGCAAAATACCTAGAAAGATAAAATCACTAAGTCTGACCGATTCAAAGATAATCCACTACAACTTGATGAGTACAAATACAGATCGTTCTCCCACAAGCAAGAAAAAGTCACATGGTTACATTGTTCGTATGCAAGACTCATTGCACAATGGTTGGAAGCGGTTACAGCAGTCGGAACTTCGATACACCATCTTCAAAGGGAGTCATTGCGAGGTTTTCTAAAAGACACGCTGCTTCATGGAATGCCTCGCAGTTTCGCGACATTTGTTCTTAGCACAGTGCTTCGTTACTCTAAAAAGTTGATCATTGTTCAACAAGTTATTTCGTTATTCTGCAACATTGCTCGCTACTTCACACTGCGTTTCATTGTTGCGAGCAGAAGGCGGCCGGCAGTGGTCAACAACAGTTGCAGAGTTGTGGACAACGGTGGTCAGCGGCAGCATGAGCAAGAAGCATTTGTCGGATCTTCAATGCAAAACACTGGAATTTCTCTTATTGATCCTCCTCCAAGCTTATGATTTAGCCCCCCTTTCATGAAGAGGGTTGAGCTTCATTTACAGAGTTTAGGAAATGCCTCCTGGCAAGAAGAAAAGAAATCATACCACTCCATTGGATGGCCCAAAGAAATACCCTTCATTGGACGGCGTTCAACGAACATTTGAGTGCTTTAACGATGTTAGAATTGAGTGATTTTAGGCACTTTGGATCTATCTTATCGAGATGTTCGATCTAACTATAAGTTTGTCAGATTTAGAATACGTTTGACATTCTAATTGGGCACCGAATATTTTCAAAAATGATTTAACGACTTGATCTAGGTTTGATTTGACTTAGATTAAACTAACTTTAGTGTCATTGTATTCGTCTCATTGAATCGGTCAGTTTGACTGTAAGTTTGTTAAAATCGAAGTTCTAGATGAATTTTAATTGAACTTTGAGCTTTCTCTGCTCAAAAATTGTCTCGAGTTTCATGCAACACCTCGAGATAAATATAAGATGATGAAAATTTGTTAATGGTGTATCAGTGTAATTTTTATAAGATACAAAAAATTTGGGTGGTATAAATATATAAAAGTAAAGTCTATATTAGATATGTAAATAAATAGGAATCGAGCGGTATGTATGCAAATGTTGTTATGAATTATAACTGTGGAAGTATTAGTAAGTTGAATACCTTGAATCAGCAGGCCGTGACTGTTCCCAAAGTTTGCTATTTCGTCTATAATGACTGAAGTTGCCCTATTGCATGCCTATTCCAAGTCATGCATTCCTTACGGACATCAGTTCTGTTTTCGAATTTGTCAAATCATAATAATTCACATAATTTACTAGAACAATTATGAATACATTTAAAAAAAACAGATAGGAAATTGCAAATACACATCATTAAACTAATACAACTTCCACCCTCACTCTAACCAAACCAAAAATATTGAGAAAAGTGTCAAAATAATGCCTTGACACTAATTAGGGGGTCTCAGAATATTACAGTATCAATTTAGTCCCCTGATTTTTTTAACATGGGCAGAAAAAGTCCCATAATTTAAAGAGTTTAGGGACTAATATAACATTTTTATCGTAATAACTGAAAATTTAAATAATAATCATAATGACATTATAATAATATTAATACAATTATTATTATTATTATTATTATTATTATTATTATTATTATTAATCAAATAGAAAGTTAACAATAAGCGTCCCTACGGTTCATTTTAAGAGGTTGCATGCCCCATTGGAACAAAACGACACACAGATTGGAAGAGAGCAGAAACCAGAATAATGACAGAGAGAATAGAGAATGAGAATGAAGAAATAAAATAAGAAGGTTGTGTATATCTCATAACTTGTTGTGGAGTGAGGGAAGGAAGTTGGCATTTCTTACCATTGATTCGACACTCAAGTGCGTCGAGGGCAAGAAGACAAAGTCGCCGCTTATAGTGGCTTCACCAAAGGGTGTCCAAGCCAGCGTGGTAGACAATCACAACGGTCGTTGCGTTGTGTTCGCTTGTGAGAAAGAAGAATCTGAAGGACTTGAGAGCTGCTACAATACAAGAGGAGGAAGCCTCATTCCCTAGTCGATCGAAAAGAGAAGAAAAGAGCAAAGAGGCGGGCCTTCGATATCTATGCGCCGGAACGAGAATGAACAAGTTGTTCGTCGCCTCATCGTGCTCGAAGGAGAAGGGAGTGGAATCGCATCGCATTTTTCGTCGCCTCATCGAGTCCCAGCCTCTCGCTTGCTATCTACGCGAAGTCGTCGACATCACCGTAGGTCAAATTGCGGATGAACAGGTTCTCGTCCTTTGCTTGACAATTCCTCCCGCAGCATCCTTCTCTCCTTTCCATAAGTTGTTCTACAGTTCCTTTGCCTCTATGGCCGTCGCTTTCCCTCCTCCCTTTGGCAAGGCTTCCTTTTGTTGATGTGGCTGGAAAGGGCTTTGATTATGTGGCGTCTGCATATCATCTAAGCTTTATCATGATTCTTTTGAAAGGACATGTGACTCCTCGTTTATTAAGAAAATTAGGAGTGGCGGGAAATCAACTCTCATTTTCTCAGATATTCAATTATTTAATGTAGTTAAAAATTGCAAATGCAAACTCGTTAGAAAATTTCAACTGGGGCATCCCGAAGAAAAGTTTTTACAGATCTCAAACTAGTAGGACAATGGAAGGTGGGTCACTTTAATGAGAGACATGTGATGATATAATTGACAAAGGAAGAAAACTATGTCAAGATCTTAATGAAATACATCAAAATTGATGGAAACTATATGAAGTTGCTCAAGTGATCTCTCGATTTTGATCCAAGCCAAGAACCACCTATAGTACCAACTTGGTTTAAATTGTCTAGTATTAAGCTGCACTTTTTCAACTATCAAGTTTTTTTACTCCGTTTGATTTACACTCGGGAGACCTATGAAATTAGATATACCTACTTTCAATCTCACAAGACTTTATGTTGTCAGGATCCTTGTAGAGAGATATTGTCTTGCCTGAAGTTGAAGAGATTTAGCTTGGAACTACACATAATGGGTATTGGCAACGAATTGTCATGGAACAAAGACCATACTATTGCAGTCATTATAAGATGTTTGGACACATACTAGATAAATGTTTCAGGCACCACCCCAATTTGAGACCTAACCGACCAGGGCAACTTGATTTAGCCACTGATTTGGCTAACCGAACAACTCAAGAATCATCCATTCCAACTGTTGTTATGGTTGAAGATGCAACTAGGGATGATATTGTTACTTCCCCAATTGAACCTGATGAGAACCCTTCTATAATCAAGCCTGCTGAGATTCTTGATCCTTCATTGGGTATCACTGCTACCAAAAATTTGGTTGTAGCAAATGATATTCTAATAGATATGGAACTACTTCTTGCAAAAGAAGATGGTACTCAAGTATTGGAGGCGTGCCAAGATCAAGGTGTGCAGCAGTCTGAAACTGCTCAACAATTTACGGATCAACATACCCACCAGGGTGAGTTCTCCATTGATGATCAACTTATTCATTAGATGGGTCATGCACTAGAAAAATGGAAGGTTTATAAAGTCAAGAAGAAGAAGAAAGGGATGTTATAAGATGACAATTTGATAGTTTTTTGTGGAAGCCCACATAACAGTTTGTTGTTGGGCTCCCTCTCTAGAACTAGGGGGGACCAAAACCTACCCGCCATGATTAATATTCTCTTCTCAAACGGATGCACTGATTTATATATCTTTACCTATATTTTTCTTTTTTGGAGATTATTTTTAGGGTTGTGTAATCTCGTAGATGATTTTTTCGAGTTTTGTTAGAATTACCTGCCCACTTAGACGTGTTTGTATATCAATGAAAAGTACTTTTTTCGGCAATATATATATATATATTGAAAGTTATATTCAAATTATTTAATATTAATATTAATTTGGGTTTTCTAATCATTGATAGAAATCAAAAGATTTTAATTGACGAGATTAATAATTGAAAGGTGTTCACAGAAAAAAAAACCAAAAAAATTTATATGAGGTATTATTGAAATTTAGATTAATGTGAAATTAAGCGAAATTAAGTGGAATTAAGCCGTTATATATTCATTAATATGAAAGAGGGTAAAAATAACTCTTACATGAATCCTATAACAAGAAATACAATAAAAAAAAATAATATGAAATAAAAAATATAACTCCTAATATTTCTATTTAATAAATTCATAATAATTATTTGGAGATAAAAGAAACAACATAAAAAAATGACTAAATTAAGAAAGAAAATAACTCCAAATTCAAGGAAATAAATATAAAATGGGAAATGAAATAACTTAATCCAAGTAAATAATCACAATTTCTTAAAGAAATGAATTATTTCATAGTATAACTTCTAACAATCCACATCAATTTGAAACATGATTGAAAATCATGTTCAACTTAGATTTGAAAACACCAAACAATGGAGGAGCAAGATCCTGAGAGGTAGAACTTGAAGTCTTCGTCTCATACTACGATTATTTTTTACTACAGTGTCTGTAGGTAAGTGAAAAGCTCCTACAAATAATTCTACAGGGGAGTTTGCAGGGAAGTAAATAACCAACAGGAAAAGTTGCAGGGTATGGCCTCCAGGAGAAAAAAAACTAAGGTAGGCCTCGTTGGAGGAAAAGGCACCAGAGGAGGACGTGCTAGAGGAAGAATTCAGGTTGATGGACTGTTGCAGTGAAAGCTCTGGAGAAAGGCTTGATACAAGAAAATTTCTGCAGGATAGTCTAATACAGGAAAAAGCTCCAGAGGAGAACCTGCTGACGGAAAAGCTCTAGAGGAGGCCTGCTGCAAAAAAAAAATTTGGAGTTCGATGCATTTTCTTGTGTCTTCCTTTTGATTCGACCTGAAAGTGTTGCAACATCAAGAAAAATCTTTCATTGTAAAGAAAGAAACCATGGGCAACATGAAAAAGAAGCACCTGCAGAAAAATAACTTGAACTAGACGATAGTGACTTGATGGGCTTCCATCACATAAGCAGTCACAAAAATACCTGCACTAAATAAACCACTGCATTGACTGTACAAAAAGTTGGTTTGAGGCCATCACTGGACACTACCCTTGCCTAGTCATATATCCACCAAGCGCCCTCACTATTGTAATTGAAACCAAAGAGGCGGCGCCAAGCGAGTAACTTAGGGAATCAGGGAAGTTGGACTGCTGAAAACCAAGATGCAGAACTACTGCAGAGAACAGTTGTGAAAAACAGCGGAAATGACCTTTAAAGAAGGTTGAGGGACAACTGCACCTCCAACAGTAATGACCTGCAGAAAATCAAAGAAGCCAAACCATTGGAAACTAGAAAGCTTGATTGCTGGAGATCTGTTAGAGATCAGGAAAGTCAGACTGTTAAAAACCAAAAGCCACTGACGTAACTGCACCCAACAAGAAAGTTATTACATTGAAAAATGTATTTAGAAAGGGTTGATATCAAGTTTTGAACTTGATGTACGTGCAAAGTTGTTGCTTTGTGTTGAATCCTTTGGCAGCGCCAAGGAAGAGAAGGATCAAAACAACAGATGCAAAAATAAAAATCCCTTTGGATTCAGCAAACAGGAAAGATGTAGCTCCTCGATGAGATCGTCGCCTATCCCGTTCTTATTAATCTCCGATGATGTTGTTTGCCTCTCCAATGACGAGCTGCCAGAGCAAGCCGATCCCGATCACAACCGCAGCCAGGATCAAAATCACACATGGGATTTCCACAAGATAGAGAAAGTCTCCCCTTCATCTTGACATTGGTATTTCCCTAGAAAGAGAAATTTGCCTCTTGGCACTATGATTTCTACTAGAAATAGAAGATTTGATTTTCCTCTCCAGAAGCTCGGCTCAGGGTAGGCACAAGTCACGTGGGATTTCCACCAGAGCTGGGATTCGCGTCTGCAGCAATGGAGGGATTCGCACAAGACTTTGAGGGCAATTGCTCTGGGGCTGCAGAGACCTGCTCATTCGATTTAAGTTGTGCTCGCAAGTCGTAGACAAAGTGATTTCCACTAAAGAGAAAGAATTGCTCTCAATTTGTTGGCTCCCACAAGGTCGTCACAAAGGGAACGCGTGGGTCTCGTGAACAATGTCGCGGGTTGCAAGTCCCACTCTGCACAGGCTGCAGCTACCGTCGCATCTCCCACTCTATGCAAGTCGCAGCTCCAGCTCTGTGCAGGTTGGTCGATTCCTGTTGTTCCGGAAGGCACCAAACTTTAGAATTGTGTGGTATCGGAGGGCCTACAAGGATTTGTTCCGGCGGCGAGAGCCTGCAGAAAGGTCCCTCCTTTCCAGCAAGGACGATGGCAGGGAGTTCAGAAGCTTTCGAAGGACAACCTAAGGTACGAAATTTAGCTATGATACCATGTTGAAATTTATAATAACACGTAATTAAGCGAAATTAAGTGGAATTAAGTCGGTATATATTCATTGATGTGAAAGTGGATATAAATAACTCTTACATGAATCGCAGAATAGGAAATACAATAAAAAGAAAATAATATGAATGGAAAGATATAACTCTAAATATCTTTAATTAATCAATTCATAATAATAATTTGGAAATAAAGAAAACAACATAAAATAAAAAATAATTAAAATAAGAAAGAAAATATCTCCTAATCCAAAAAAATAAATATAAAATAGAAAAAAAATAACTCTTAATCCAAGAAAATAATTTATTCATCCTAATTTCTCACATGAATAAATTATTTTCGAGTATGACTCCTAACAGGTATGTTCTTATTTCAAAAAATTTATTCAAAATAATTTATAAAAAAAATCAAATGAAACTATTAATTTAAGATGCAATCCACCATTAATGTCAGACATAAAGAATGATATAGCAAATTCAATGTAAATAAAATTAAATGATTAATGTAATATTATGATTTATATTTATAGACATTAAATAGAGGAGGTGTCAAAAGGTTCAACCTAAGGAGAATCAAGAGAAATTAAGATGAATAATTATGCTCTAATTTATTTATTATTTTTAAATATATTATTGCTTACAGTTTTTTATTATTACGTCTTATGTAAATGTAACTAAATTATATATGATTCTTCATATTGATAGTCATGAAACATACATGTTAAAATTGTTGTATAAATAGTTGTATTATAATTTTCCTAAAAAAAGATTATCGCATTATAGTTTTTCTAAGAAGATATCATATTATTATATGACATAAATTCTAGTATAGGTGTATAAATCAATTTATTTCATGACCTATAATTTTAGTATGAGTGCAATTATTCATTAGTAGATAAATGTAAAATGTCTCGTAAAAGAAGAATGTATGTTATGAAAAATAAAATAGCTTATATATGGCATGCTAAGAGGAGTTCCCCTTCTTATGGTAAATGTGGGGGAAGTCAATGTCCAACTAGCATAGATGTTATCCTACCAACCCAGACGATTATGATATTTAGATCACTAATCATTGTACCGATGGGAAAATATCAAACAAAGACAAGTAGACACGTTTTCACCTTATATAATTGTATAAATCAAATCACGAACCGATATACCGACGAGATAATATTGATCAGTGGTGTGTTAGGTTATGTTCTGATGGTGCTCATAAGAAAAATGTAAATGTTAATAACACAAAAAAATACAGCTAAATATTAAACTTCGAAAAATAAAGTTAGAGCATGTCATAAGTTTAGATTTTATTTAATTTAATATATGTCATGAATACATTAGATTATTATTATATGATTTCGTAAAATGAAATATGAAAGATAAACATGCATATTATTTTCTTTTTCTTGTGTTAGTTTGAAACTATGATTGTTCGTGTTTTCTTTAGATAACTCATGATATTATTTTTTTCAAGTTTAAGCTTTTAAATAAAATAAATACTATATGAGCTAAAGTGTACAAAATGAAATATCAACAACAGAAAAGTAGTTTTTAATTGTTAATTTAATTGTTTTCTTTAGTGACTCATTTAATCAATATTTAGACATTAATTTTTTTAGTGAAAGACATATAATAAAAGAATATTTATTTCCATCATCCGCTCCCGCCTTAGTTAATACCAAGCCCAAGGCCTAGGTCGAGTCGGGACTCGTGACTTTATAAACTCTTAGACTAAAATGGCACCACGTTAACAAACAGGAGAATATTTTGAAACTTTAAAAATATTGATGGATACCTCGTCAACTGCATTGTCAAGAAGCTCTGCAATGGCTGCAATACGAAACTAAGATTACAATGAAGTCCATGCATTTGTGAGATAAATCAAGAGTACAAATAATGAACACATTCATTTCATACAAAAAAAAAAACAATAAAAAAGGCATACCGCCAAAAGGCCACTTGTGTGAAGTAGCATTTGAATGTAGAAATTTGGGATGGACACGCATGCGATTTTGATATGCTGGCATTAATAGTTTTACGTGAAGCAAATTCAGCAAGAAGTTAATCAACCAATCTATAATATATATTTAGAAGATTTACATACATACTGCTCAATTGTTATGTATTTACATATCTAACACCTATACTTAAATTTTTACTTGTATGCCACCTTACCAATGCATGAAAAGGGGTGTTTTTGATGTGATATGAAAGAATTTGGTGGTATAGATGTAAAAAAGCAAAGCTTAAGTATGAGATATGTAAATACATTGGAATCGGGTGGAACGAATGCAAATGCCCGTACATAGTTTTGAAATAATTGTACTCTTACTCTTCAAGAATGATCGAGGAGCATCACCAGCAGAATATTCTCCAGCCTTCCAAAACTGTCTGCATTCTGGCAGAAAATTGTGCGAGGTAGAGGACTGGGAGAATGGATTAAGAGCTGAATTCCTGATTTCAGGTGAGGAACTATTTGGTAATCCATCTATACTGCCAATCTCCACAAACCCTGTCCGGTTCATTTCTGTAGAGATAGCAGAGGAAGTTCAAGAGAAGTAAACTATCAGTATGGATTTGCATAGATGATAAACCTTTATACCAGTTGCAACAATTAGTAGATTTTACATTTTAGTTAGGCCTTGTGTGTGTGTGTGTGTGTGTTTTTCCTATGCATGAGCGTGTGAGATAGATGGTTTGCACCCCATATAACGAAGACAATGAATACACCATCTTCTCAAATACCACCAAGGAAATAATTTAAATAAAAATAACATATATAAAGCCACACGTCTCGTTTTTATCTCTCCAACTCAATCCCAACCCATCTTCGTTCTCGACTCCCTCTTGACCCTCTTTCCTTCTCCAGGTTTCCTACTCCATGAGTGGCTTGCCAAGATCGCACAAGAACATGAAGTACTCACAAGCTCCTTACATTCCTCCCATATAAATCTTTCTTTACATGAGAGAAAAATTATATTAAGATCATTAATTGTTTTGTGTAGGTAAGGACTCGATGTTTATTCATGCCTTTTTTTGGTGCAGTAGACATGAAGTTTTGTCTTTTAGATGTTCCGTACACCACGAGTCTTATTTGGCATGATGGGGAATTTAATATCAATCATGATGTCCCATATAGCACCTAGATGTCCACATAGGTCTTTTTTACTATGGTGTACATGAAGATTACTCAACCAAGTGCTCCATGCACCACCCATTTAAGTTTTCTTTTATGGGGTTGATGACTTCACTTCGATTATCATGTTCCTCCCAAACAATACCTATATATCTATTTCTCGGTGTGGAAAGACTTGATACACTTTTTGATACCCATTCGCGAGTGTGATATAAAAGCACTGCTAAAATTTACCAATAAATTATAGACAAAGTTTAGCAAAAAAGTCTTTGGAACTAAAATAATGCAACAAAGATGGATCTCATAAGTAAAAAAAATGAATATAATATACACGAGACATCTAAAAATGTACTACAATACCATCAAAAGAGCCAAAAAAACTCAAATGTGACAATAACTCTTCACCATCAACAGAAACACTACAAACTCTGGTCAAAAATTTATGTCAAGATGCATTCTATCAAGCCAACTTGCAAAAGAGCAAAAATTAAAAAATTTGCGCCCAAAAATCATGCAAATGGGTAAAATGAAACCAATAGTGTGCAATGTAAAATCACGAGGGCATTACAATGAAAGGAGTAGCCAACAAGTGTGCGAAAAATTGAGTCAATGATTTTAGAATATTCAATACGGTTCAGAAAGAAAAATCAATTCAAATTAACTTGTGCCACAAAGCACTTGCTACTCCAAAGCATGTGCAAAGCTGCAAAATGGCAAATCTCAACTGAACACCAATGAATACAACGGTGCTAGAAAGAACAAAAAAATTGAAATCACAATGGTTAGAAATCATTGTGTGTCCTTCTCTAAGTAAAATCTCATCCAGATTATGCCACTTCAAATAGCATGCAGCGTACTATAAAAAATGTGAACCATATATTCATGTTCAAATCACATAGCAAGTATTTGTAGTCGAGCGAAATTAAAAGGAAGAAATGCTCTTGAAGCTTTATGATTCTTTTTGACCAAAAAAATGAGCAAAAAATACAAAAATAAATCAATAAAAGTCAATAGAAATCATGTAAAAATTAGTAGATAAAATAACATAAAATAAAGATCTAAAAGATACTTTGAGCATTCTCAAACAACTTACACTCATTTGATATGCATGAATCTAATTTTCTCACTCAAACATACGAATAAGCTGCTAAAGAGTCTTGAAAATGATATATAATGGTATAAATGCTAAGAAAATATGGTATATTTGGGCAACTCCACATGCCAGAAGAGAAGTGGATAAGCTTTGCATTAAGCTAATCATTTATTAGCCTCTCTTTAGCCACTCTAAAGTCCTTCAATCTAAGGCTTAACCCATAAGCAACCTAACCTTAGGACTCTGCCTAGAAAAAGCTAGGGCATCTTTAAAACTTCAAATCCACTTAAAGTCGCCCAAAGGCATCTGTTTGGAAATCTCTTGAGCCAGACAACAACAATCTCCCCCCCTTAGGTTACTCACACAACACTAAGATTAAAGGATCTCCAAACTTCTCCCACTCTACAAATATTACACGCCATCTGATCGCTCTTAGTGACTTCCAGTGAGTCGTAATCAATTCATCCCAAGAAGTCACAAATCTCAAAGAGATTCATTATTGCAGGCCATTAACCAACCACATCCTTGTGGAATCACTCTTCTCAGTGGCTTCTCACAAGAGCATTACCTCTTGATGCATTTTCAATGCTTTCCTCAAAAAATTAGTGCCTCAATAACTCATCGCGAGAAATAGCACCCCTTGGAGATCAATATTGCTCTCAATGCTCTATAGGTAATTTTCTAGATAAACTGATGTCTCATAAACTAGCTCTAGGGAAATAGACTCTTTTCAGCAAATTCTCAATGAGTTTTCCAAAAAAAAATTAGATCTTAGGAACTCTTTCCAAAAAATTGCCTTCTCTCGATGACCTTTCAATGGCTTACCTAGAGAAATTAGAGCCTTGTCAACTCGTCCTAGAAATTCACACTCTTCTTCCCCACTTCAGCTAGCCAGTCGAGGGGCTTGTAACCTCCAATCTCATCCCAATAACTCACACTTTCCACCAAGTTCATTTATTCAATCTAATGGCCTGCATCTTTCTTCTCAAGAACTCCCACTCCCAACAATTTGCCAAATCGGCATTAGTTCACACCCCCATCTTCGAAGACATTTCTTGGGAATTCAAGTCCCAAACAACTTCTCTATGTCAAGTAAGTTCTCTCACCCAAGGTTTAATTAACTATCAGTGAAATTCATGTTTGTCGCACATTTTGATATCAACAAAACTAGTTCCAGAATGTCAAGCACCAATTATAAGTGTGCTGGCCCCTAAAATAATTACCCTTATTGGCTTGCACCAATAAAAATTTTTAAACTAGGTGTTTAAATCCTCATTATAGTAAAATTTATGAATGGTATCTGATCCAAATATCTAATTAGCCTGCTGAAAATTCAACCCATAATCACTCAGATGAATCAAACAAGCATAGTGGAGATTTTCAGAGCCCACAACAAAAAAAAACTAAAGTTAATATCAATCATAGAAACCTTTTTGCTTTCGGTTTTATCCATCATTTTTTTCATCGCACATCGTGCTTCAAAAATTAAAAGAAATTATACAAAACCTCATTGAATATTCGAATTCGTTTTCTAAACAACCTTAGACAAGTACAATAAAAAATTCTGACAAACCAAAATGCACAAAAAAATAACAAAATATTTCCAAAAACACCCAATAATAAAGTTTCCGATCAAACCCTATAGCATGTATTTAAAAAAAAAAACACCCTCTAAATATGAATCTCTCAATCTAAGCATTTAGTTTCCACAAAACTCGCATAAAAGCAACGATTCAACTCCACTTTTACATTAACCAAAGAAAACACGAAAACTGAATCATGATTATCCACACCATGTTTTATAACTATTACATTAACAAAAGAAAACACGAAAACTGAATCATGATTCTCCAAAACATGTTTTATAAGTACACCCAATCGGAACGATCAGTTCAAAGAAGTTCAAAACAACAAGGAGACATGAAATGGATAGAGAAGGAAGGGAATTTTAACTTCTTTGATCTTCTCGACTAGTGCTCTGCAGTGTTACTTCGAGCGCAAATAATGAGAGAGAGAAACCAGAAAGAGCTATTTGGCGCAGAATGGCACTGGAGCGCCGCGCCTTTTTCTCCGTCCTTTTTCCGAAAATGGAGCGGGGAAAGTGGTGCGTGGAAGAAGCAACGTGCAGGTGATAAAAGGATTTGAAATAATGTGCTTTTTCGTTTTTCATGTTAGCCATCTGATTGGATTTGAACGGCCAAGCTTAGAAGGTCGAATTTTGGCCAGCGTTTTAACAGCTCTAACTAAGAAGTATGTAATGGATTTTAATTAATATTTAAATTCTATTAGTTACATTAATGATAGTTTGTTGTGACGAGTTTATTGTCACGGATAAATAGTCTCACATCGGCTAGGTGTATGGCCGAAAAGCAGTATTTAATGTCCTGAGCTGTCCACATCTCTTAAGGGCTCTTTTGGGAGATGACATTATGCTTGAAAAAGATGTATTTTAAATTTAAAATATTTGAGAATCACTATTAATATATATTTATATTATTATGTGTGCGAGCTCTGCTTTATTGGCAGCGGCCACCCTCGGGTTGGAGGTTCGAATCTCAGCCTTTTCATGAGAATTTGAATAGCACATAAGACTAGAAGGAGAGTTCGCCCCTCGGTCAGTCCAACTTATATGGGTTGATCGGTGATTTTAGACCATCGATCAATCTATTTAAAAAAATATATGTATATTTATATTATTTTGATGTAATAAAATTATGTATTAAAAGATGTATTTCTTTCTTTTAAAAAGATGGTGATAATTATATTGAGTCATGATTTATCTGTAAATCGAGGCTAGAGAATTTAAGTGTAAATAAGAAGATGTAGAGACAAAAAAAAAGTAAAGAGTAATATGTCATCTACATATCGGCTTGTTCATAAAAATGAGCTAAACCATTATAGTGAAGTGAGTAAAATATGATGATGATATATTTGTGCCCATATTTTGAAGGGCATTGTGCTGCATATTTCTCATATTTTACATTTATGAGCTCATCTTTTGATTACTCTCTAGGCCGATCAGCTGAGTTTAATTGGTTTTGAGTTAGTGAATCTGTTCGGTTGGCTGAGTTTACTCGAAATGGGCATGCCCACTATTATAATTTAGTTATCGGTCCTTCGTAAGGTTACGAGTGAGTGAAGCCGACTCATGAGCCAACTTAGACTCGGCTCGATTACAGGCTCGCGAGCCTGTGCCTCGAGCTCCAGCTCGAGCCAAAAATCAAACTCAATTGTTCATCGAGCTTAAGTTCAAGTTTCGAGTGACACTACATGTGGGCTTATCGAGCGGCTCAAAAATATCATTGTCGCATGATTTAGTGAATGATGGGATGTGTTGCATGTAAAATTTGAAACCCTTTTCAAGTCTTTGACAACCCTGTCCCTAAGCTTTTCACGAGTCTCCTTCTTTTCTCGATGTCTCTCATCTATTGACTCTGTTGTTTCTCTCATATCTCATTCATATAAAATGATCTCCGACATAATTCACGATCGTCATGTAAGCATTTTATTTGTTTTGCTTCTTGAATGCTTTAAAAGGAGTTTTTTATGTTGTATCAAATCTCTCGCAATTTTAGCCAACTTCATTTCTTATTATGCTATTATTGAACTCGGGTTGCGACTCATTTACATGATGAGATTTATTGTATTTGATCAGAAGAATGTATAAGATTAGTAGTCCCTTTTTTTGGGTATGCTCCTGTTGTAATATTATTAGGATCCTTATTAAATCTAAGATTGTGTTAACTAATTTTATGATCTTGTTGCATATGGCGTAATCGAAAGAATACCTGATGATCAGGAAAGAAAATGCAAATGAAGAATGTTCAATCTCCTCTAGGGCGACGAATCAGAACCCTAAACCAGCGAGGGAAAAGGCAAGGGAGATGGAGGGCACCTCCGGAATTCCCCAGGGCAACGCAGATGGGTAACACGGGACGCGGGGCTCGGACAGCGTCGAGCGACATATAGCAATTAACCAACGTGGACGCAGTGCGGGATCCTTACGCAGGTGCGAACACCTTAAACAAATAGGGAGGCGCTCCCAATAAGCGCCCCCAAACGGGCCATAAATCTAAGGCATTCCTCTAAATTTTATTGTTAAACAATGATATGCGACAAACTCCCTTGTTTTTATAGTTCATGATTTATGAAGATTTAGTTATAATGCTGCAAATCATTTTACTTTTGCTATCTTATTATTTATGGTGGATGATAGAGAGTTGGGAATTGTAATTTTCTACTTTTATTAGTTATAACAACTACAGATAAAAAATGGGATATTGAGTACAGAGCATGAGAACATGATTGTTGAATAATATATTATTAATAAAGTTGACAACATTAATTTGAATGATAATAACATTGTATGAGAAAATGAAGTTATTGATGAAGAAGATATTACTCATGAAAACCCAATTAAGACAAAAAGATAAATAAAACTTCAGTGATTTGTGAGGAGTTTAAAGAGCTACTCTTCGTGATAGTCAAAAGAAGAATGAATTTTGTCATTTAAAAAAAAATTATTAAGAGAAATGTTGATGCAACTACATAATTTATAAGACAATTAGATCGATGTGTGGTTATGATTTGTACAATAACAAATATATATAAAAGTTCATTTGGAACAAATTAATAGGGGCTAAATTTTAGAACTCTTAAGTATGACAACTCAAAAGTGCGAGAGATGATAATTGATCAGGTTGAATATAATTGTGTAAAATTTATAAAGTTGACTCTGCTTTAAAACGGTGCAAAAAAACTTGATGTGTTATTTTAGTAATAATAACGTTAAGCTCTTAAGATTGAGATTTTACGCAAGTATATGTATTGTTATTAAGTAATAAAAGACTTTCTGTTTAAGTCCCAAATATCGATCACATGGGGAATGTTTAAATTTGAAATAATGAATTAACTAGGAAATTCACATAAATCAAACAAAATTACCGTCACTAATTTTGAATGTGTAAGATACTAACAAAACTACTGAATTAACTGCTAGCAAAACTTAAATACAGAGTTTAAAACAATAACTACTAAAGTATGTTTATATGGTGAAGATTTTTTATATGAAAAAAAAAATATTTCCCACTACAATGAGATTTTTGGTGAAATGAGATGAGATAAATGGTTTAAATTTGTATTGTTCTAGATAGAAACAATTTTAATTCTCTACCCTGATTCTGTGTTATAGAAAATCATTGGCTAATCTTAGGTCTAGTCCCTAAATATGTGGCTAGGCTAGGAGGATAATGGCTCCCACTCCAAAGCTTCTACTTCCCTTCCCCTGAAGGTTGACTCTCGCTTTAGTTTTTAAACTCTAAGATCGAATTGGGGATTTTTAGTCAGTCACTCCAGAAATCTCTAACTCTACACCCAACAAAGTATATTTCTCTATTTATTTGCATTTAATTCAATGAACGAAACACTCCTTCACGGACTTAAATATGATTCTCACTATGTTATATAACTCATACTCCATTTCCTGGATCATATATTTCACAATATATATTAACAATTCAATTGGTCAGATCGAAAAGTAAATTAAGAACGGAGTTTAAAAACTATCACAATTTATTTTAAATTTTAACTTTGACACCTCCAAATCATCTCTTCATTTCACCATATCTCAAAGTAGGGAGAAAGATAAAGAAAATATACTCAGACTTCATGAGAAAGATACAACAAAACATAAATTTTATATATAAAAGAAAGTTCATACAACAATAATAAACAAACAATACTTATCTGAAACTCTTTCTCAAAACAAATCCCTTGTACCCTCTTTTAGGAAATGTAAGAAGAAAAAAATCTCTCATTTCTCTTCCTCTCCAACACTTATTAGAGAAGAATTGATACTCAAACTCACCCAAAAACTCAAACTTATAAAAATAATAACTAACTAATGAAGTGGAATGACGTGGAATGTAGGTGTGTGAAGAGGAAAACTGAAATGAGTGGAAGAACTCAAAATGGTGTGAATGGTGGGGGGGTTCTGATCAAATTTCGGCTCCAAATAGAGTCTAGGTCGGTTCTCCAATAGGTGCATCAAAAAACTCTTAAAAAAACATCTAAATTTGTCGAATCTTCTAGAAACAGGGTCTGCACATACACTAATGCCGTCGGCGCCAGAGGTCATTTAATTAATTTTGAGTCTCTGTCAAACGGCGTCGTTGGCGCTTAGTCTGGCACCGTCGACACTGAACATTTTTTAAAATTCTCCATTTTGATTCCAAATTCATCTTTTTTTGCTTCATTTTTGCTCCAAGTACTAAAATCCATCAACATGTTATAAAACAAAAAAATATCTTCTATTAAAGTGCAATATCACAAAAAAAAAAGTATAAATATGGGTCTAAAAATGCATATATTTTTTGTGCATCAATAACACATTTTATTTTGATTAATGAGAAACATTCTTCAATTGAAGTCATTGGGATTTAATTTAATTTTGAAATTTATGATGACATGTTTTTTTAAAATAGTCGAGAACAACTGCTAGTGCTTATGAGAAAGAGAAAATATAATTGAAAATTATGTTAAAAAAATATCAAACAAGTAAACTATATTAAAGATTTGTTAAAATCAAAGAATATCATATATAATAATCGATACACATTATGTTGACTCAAGTTTTAGATTGTAATATAAATTTTTAGTCTCTTATATCCATCTTTTCTACATACGGCTTCTGAAGTTATTCATTTTTTTTTATAAATCGTTCAGTGAGTGGTTCTTGAAAATAAAGTATTCACTCTATGAGTCGATAATGCTTCAAGTAATGATCGAGTCATAAAGTTATCACAGAATTGCTTATGAGTTTGAAAAAAAATTATTTTTCTATGAGAATTACCTCATGTGTGTTATTGTGCATATATATTGAATTTAAGGATGAATAATTGAATTAAGAGTACAAAATATGTGGTTGAGAAAATTTGTAGCATTGTTAGTTTTATGAATGTTATAGAGGCAAGATTAATGAAATTTATAGATATTATAGTTGTCCAGTGAGATATTTATTATGAAATTTATTATGTAATTTTATTATGTGTATGACCGGAAATGTAAAAGATAAATTTGATAATTGCTTGTAATTTTTTTATGGGTTTTGGTGTTGTTG